GGAAAAGCTCTGGAAGAGGTGGAATCTTTCATGTAGCTGAGTAGCATCATCGATGAACAAAGAGGATCCGATACAAAAGTGAAGGCAAGGGTCGGCAAAGCAAGGACAGCATTCCTACTGTTCAAGAACGCATAGAACTCTAAACAACTGTCAACCAATATCAAAGTCCGAATCTTCGATACGAACGTCAAGACGGTCCCCTACTGTACGAAGCTCAGACTTGGAGAACTACCACAACCATCATCAGGAAAGTACAAGTATTTATAAACAATTGTCTACACAAGATACTTAATTTCCGTTGGTCAGATAGCATCAGCAACAACCTACTATGTGAGAGAACAAACCAGGTCCCAGTTGGAGAGAAAATTGGGAAAAGATTTTAGAAGTAGACAGGACATACATTGAGCAAATCACCAAACTGCATCATTAGGCAAGCGCTTACCTGGAATCCTCAAGGGAAACGGAAAAGAAGACCACAGAACACACTGAGTCGAGAATCGAAAGCAGGCATCAAAAGAATGAATAGAAACCGGAAAGGAATGCCCAGGATAGAGAATGTTGGTAAGAGGCCCATGCTCCTCCACAAAGAGTATTAGGTGTAAATAATTGTTTCCCCAAATTACTTTAAGTCTAAATGAGTTTGGAACGTGTTTTAAACACATTTCTGGTTGAAATTCTAGGTATGAAACATCGTTTAACGAATAATTACCGTAAGATTTTATGGAGTAATGAAGGGAGTCTGAGATATAATTACCAGCTTCTAGTGATCAATACACATTAAAAAAGATTTCATGATATATTTCTTAGGGATAACGCAAAACACTAATGTTAGATTTTAAAACTTGATATTACACTTTGATTTCTAACAAGATATTAAATAACACTTCCTTTTATGTTCAGGTTATTCATGAGAATTTCTACTGAGTTACCTCTAATTGGATGGAATCTCTTAAATATCAGACAGAAACATTTTATCAATGTATATTTACAATTAACCGTCACGTTTCATCCTTTATATGTAAACGTTCCTACCGCCATTAACTTTCCATTTTATTCAACATTTTTGAAAATCACGCTTCCAGAATACAATTAGCGACATTTATTAATGTTATCAATTTAATAAGTCAGAACTTGAAAATTTAGTGCGGAATAGTCGGGAGTAAATTACCACAGAGAAGGAAGGAATTGTAATATTAGTTTGTTTGCTACTTACAAGTACTATGTTGTGTTTGTGGTATTTTTTAAGTATCAACTAATCGCTAGTCAATCAAATACAATACAAAACCATGCATGATATTTAACGAGGTTTACCACAAAGAATCCTTGATAGACGTGACAAATTCTGCGTTACTGCAGTAAATTTATCAGATTTATTTAGTAAGTTGTTCGTATCCCACCAATTAATTTTTAGTTACCAGAATGATTGAAAAATGTTTCCAATTCCGCCATTATGACAGGCTCAATTACCATTATGTAATCTGAATCCTACTAACGTCCGTTTACTACCATTTCCTTAATGGAAACTGATAAAAATAGTTGTTTCTCTAAAAAATAAAACATAACTGGTATGAGTTGTACGTAGTTATGTACAGAATATACGAAAACTTTCCAAACGTTGCACCATGAAGATTACATTTTTATTTAGTTTGAAAGCTGTTTTTCCTGTGAAAGTCACCCAAATAAGTTTACATTATCATGTACTAACAAAATCTAACATTAACCGGTTACTACTAAAAATCTTTGTCAATTATCACAAACAAAGGTTTGTGATCGGGTACAGCTAATATTAAAGCTCCTAGAAAGGGGTTGGTGATAGTTCCTATTTATTAGCAAAGCAGTGTTTTAATCCTTGGTAAGCTGGAGCCCCTTCCCTAGAGATATGAATCAATATTACTCGCTGTCGAAGTCAAAGACACGACTAGCCTGAATAAAGATTGTAACGCTTGTTATGTGTTGGGGATGCTCGGTTACCAGAAATCACTTCGTAAACGTCTTATTTTTGTAACTTTATTTTGGAAGTTTGAATCCCTAGTTTTAGCGACTATTTTCACCTTCAGATGGTATTTCCTACTTGAAAGGACGCTAAATGTCATTCGTCCGTTCCCTTTGAATATTTTGTATCAGATTAACATTTTTATGCTGCATATATACGCTTGAGATGTATGCTCGGTTGTTAGTACTTCTGGCTACTTGTGGAATATACCTCTCCTTCATCTGTACCACGTCTTTCTCCCTCTAATTAGCGGGGCTGGGACGCAGAGGAAATGTTAAGCTTGTCTTGTCGTTGTGTTGCTGATTTTAAGTGATATCGTAATCTCTTCAAACGCAGCATATTGATATATTAGTATGAAATAGCAACCAATGACATGTAGTCTTTAATGGCCACTAGACAAATTTAATCTACAGAATTCGATCCGGACTAAGAACCATGTACGTTACGAGCTGATCATTCAAAGTGAATTATTTCTTTGTGTAACTATTCACCCTAATGTTATGTATAAATGAGAAGACTGAATTGACAATAAAACTATAAATGGAGTATATTGATTATTAAAGGTTTAAACTTTGATTTTTTGTAAGAAAAGTATTGGTAGTGGTTTGTATTCATTAGCAGGGGGTCAATACAGTGTTTTACTCAGTGTAATAGTTAGATAGATTTTTATAATTTGTTTTCAACTAATTGGTAGAATGCTTAACTTTCAATATAACACACTAAAATTGACAACTCACGTAAATGAATAACAATATTGTAGGTTTAGTAGTTATGCTTCCACTAACTTTAATGATTCAATAACATGAAATTGATTACCAACCAGAAACTCGTAAGAGGGATTTTTTAATTAAAATACTAATCCTTCAACAAATGGGAGTAAAGTTGTCAGATGTGAATGTAATATTTAATGTAAACTGAAAGCTTATCAGATTTTATCGCAGCCACTCTTCAAAAGTTGATTAACAGTAGATAAAACGATGTTTGGACAGCTGTCATTTAAAAAAAAATCACAAAATAACGTAGTAAGCTTATGATACATTTCATTGGGTTTCTAAGTGTTCGGTATATGTTATAATGAGGAAAAATTGTTTTTTACACTTTAGTAATTCTCTGTAGGTACTTGGGGACAAAGTGTGCATTTTATTTAAGAATAAACTTTAATAATTCTATATTTTCGCACTTGATACACCCCATCCTGCATTTTCTACATATTCAGGATGCTAACAGTACATTTTGCGAAACTAGAGATTCAGATTACCCGACAATATGGATGACCAAAATTTGTCTTTAATATTGTTTTCTACCTGAATTTTCAAGCCATTGTGACTAAGAGGCTAAAGTACTCAACTTCTAACCCTTAAGTTATAGCTTCGTAACTTCATCCACCTACCTCAGTTTAACTCAAAACACGTTTAGGTTTGACCATCCCTAGCTTTCTTCCAACGAAATCTTACACCATCAAACAACACGCTTCCACTGTGTTTTGGTAAACATAATACGTATCCCAATCACTACAGTCGATGGATATTCTCTACTTCACCAACCGACTTACCATCTTTACCTAGTATTCTAAGTCTAAAATCTGTAGTAGGATTATAATCAGTAGTAACATAATTTCGCAGTTTAATAAACTTATTAGTTTCTAAATCCTGTTTTTCCAGTAAACAACGAATAATTTATGTATGAATTCAATCTCTCAATTCAGCTTCGTATCTAGCAAACAAACCGCAGTGTTTACGAGGGCAACATAACTATTTCACTGATAGTTGTTTAAATTAATAAACACTGTAGATCTCTATACTCATGAAAAGTTATATAAACTTTTTGTCGAATGAATCAGTTAGTGGTAGATCTAATACATATAGCTGGTCAAACAAAGTTGATTTGAACAAAAGATGAATGCTCCATTACGATAAAAAAAACTCGAGTTTAAAATGATTTCACAAACCAATAATCATAAGATATAGGTGACATGATTTTGATTTGTTAAGGGTAAATGAGTTGGTCATCTCACTCTCCAGTTGACTTGTGTTTGTTAAACAGGGATCATTGTCTTATCTCAGATCTCGAGTTTTGAAATCCCCTCGTACTTTTTTATCTCACAAATTCATTTCTCCTATAATCATATTGTTTATGCCGAATCTTTCCTACCACAACGGATATTGCTATTAAGTTTACAATCTGGCATCTCCCTACGTTGATATGGTGTGGAAGCTTGAGCCGATGCACATGTATGCCAGGTTCTACATAGCGTTCGAATGACTGGATGGATGAAAGAATCGTCTAGACAATACTCTAACAAATAAAACTGATACAATGTTGGCAAAGCTTTGATTAGCCATAACTTACCATATCACTCTGAAATACGGATTAAAACAAGTAATACTATTTTATTTGTGTACAATTTAAAGCTGCTATGGGAAGGGCAATATTGTAGACGAATTAATGAAGATTACTTTAATTATGAACAGTCTTAAAGCAAAATTACAGAAACAATATATATGAATAAATCATGGTTTTTTTAATACAATGAGGACTTAAAAATAGAATAACAATTATTGTGTGTTACATAAAGCGGTAAAATATACACTAGGAGTATAGTAGCAACTTTACAGGTCGACAATCTTAGCGGAAAACTGTTTCCCTATACATTTTTACCAAAGTATATTATAAAGATTTTATGTAATAAAACTGACATTTTCATGTAGAGCGATTCGCAAACACCAACATATACATGCAAAATATTTATACACAAGTGTCAGATATATTTGGACAGACAATGTAAGACAACAAGTCGCAAGAAAAAAAATAATGGGACATAATTCATCTTTTTGTCCAACTATGACAGTCTATTTCTTCCTAAAAAACAGATTTTCGAGAATGAACAAAGTCAAAAACGAAGATGGATATTTCTTCTCTAGTTTCTTCTTTAGTATTAGTGTTCACATTGAAACAATTTAATTAAGTATCGCAGCAGAAAATTAGTGGATAAGTGTCGTTGGACAATGATTTTTCCGAGCTGTCAACAAAACTGTTAGAAAAACAAATTTTCAAATGCTTGTTGTAAACAATGTTATAATTACAAGAAAAAAAGACAGACAACTTACTTGAAAAAATGATTAGATGATCAATTAATGTCGGGTTGTAAATAAATCAGCTCATGAGTGCGCATGCTAATGAACACCAACTTAATGACAACAGATTTCTGTTTTGCGTTAAACTCCTTATTACTGGTGAACATATAAGCATCATTTTGACTTTTGATTGGAAATAGAGTAATAATCTACGTTCACCTAGTCATCGGATACTATGGAAATGCATTCCCCAACGTTGTTTAATTGTTTTATGGATTGAGCTTTTACACAACAAGCTTGAAGATAGTCAGCTCCCTCGGAAAAACAACTGTTTGAATCCAGGAACCTGAACAGTAACATAGCTTTTTTTTTTAAATCACGACATAATATACAAAAACAGACTGAGGAGTTAATAGAACTCAATCTTACTATGCAAAAAATAAGTTATTCAATTGCTTTAGTTCTTGTGGTATTATATGATATTCACATTGTCATCCACTTTTACTTACAACTTCATTACATCACGAAACTAGTTCCTGTCAACTATATTGAATTGTCTCCAATGAGACACTATTTGTTTGCATCTGATACATTCAACGTTCAAAATTGATAAGAATAAGAAATAAGCACAAGTTGGGACTCTGGAAGAACCCGCTAAAAATGCTTTTTTAGCGAATGGCATTTAAGAACATAGAAGTAGTTTAACCATAGATTTTAAGCTTATTACGGAAATTCTATTTTGGCATGGCTTCGCGAAAAGATTTGGAATCAATGTCAACAGTAATCGATTGAATCTCCAACAAGCTACATACATGCTAATGAGCTGGTAAGTGTGAAATAGACCGTAACCACTATAGAAAATTAGGCCAATTTGTTAATTCACTTTACAATCAACAGTGCAGGACTATTCCTGGCCATGTAGCAGCGCCACAATCCAATAACATCACTAGTTAGGGTTTAAGCTCAACAGCTTTAAAATAAGTATGATGGAGAACGTTATTACAACACCCCAGTTGTGAAAATGTATAGTTCGAGACTTGTTACAAGTCAATATTTCATTTAGTAGATCTTCATTTGGAAAAGCTTTTACTAAGCAACAAAAGTATATTAGAGTTGCTTCAAGTAAAGGAGTATTCACTGAGAGCACACGAGATAACTAGGGAGATTTATTGCGACTAATATAAATAAGCCCCCTAAAGTAAGGTTTAGACATGTGAAATTATAACAAAGCAATTAAGTGGAACTTACTTTCCAACGGTGGCCGCAATTGTTACAATAGACAAAAGTGGTCATTGGTTCATCTGCACTACGAGTTTGGACCTATGGAAAGAAGTATATATGTTTCTAAATGAATATAACACAAGTTGAGAGAAGACAAAAATGACTGGATCCTACCGTATCAAGTAAATAAAATGATACTACATGTCGTAACTTTTAATTAAAATGTGAAATGCATAAATAGGTAGGGAGCAAAGGATAGCATAAGCGAAATATACCAGTGCCTATGAAAAGCAGATACATATTTACTGAAGTTTTCATATCACAAAATGTGCTGACTACCGATCGACTCGCATTTATTATCACTTTTTAGATTGAAATAACAGAACATGGAAAAGCATTCACATAAAAATGTTTAGTGGAAATGAATATGCTTTATTTGGAAACATTTCATATAATAACTTGATATAGACAAAAACGAATGACAAAATATACAAGATAATTGAGAATATAGAATTCATGCATAACCAATTATGGACAGAAATAGCACTAAATCAGAAATGAACTAAAGATAAACATTAACAAGATTGCATAACTGCAAAACGCATGTAACTGTTAGTCAACGTACAACAGTTACGTGATGAACAGGTTTTCTTTAATGCAACCAGTAATTATAGAATATGAGTTGTGATCAAAAACAAATACTTTTATATAATCTCGTATTCAGTCGAGTAAGATATGTTACTTAGTTTAATGTGAATATAGCTTTATTACTGGAGGACATCAGCGATAGAAGAAAAAGGCACTATCTACCTGTTCTGTCCTGATCTGAAATTTCTTAGCAATGCACATTCATAACTCCGAAGGAGCTTGAGTCCAGAAATTTAGGGCCACGCAGCAAGTTTGCAACTTATAAGTCACTCACTTTGGACCTAATGGTTTGCACTTACAATTTCAGTTAATTTGTGATACAGTAAGATCATCACCTACCGTCATCAATGATGACTTTTATTTCCAGATTTTATTTGAGGATAATTAAAGGCAACTAACCTGGTTATATGTACACTTGGTCTGCTTACACTTTCCACATCGTAATAAATCAGTTTCCGTTCCACCAGTTACAGCCATTTGATGGTCTTCTATAGTTTCTTTAGTATATTTCTCACGAAGTTCTTTCATTTCTTTACTAGCCATCTCCTACACAATCAAATCAATAAATAAGGAACTTAAGAAAATAGTTACGTATCCTACTAAAATTAAATTGTAACATGGGGAGTTTCGAATTAGCTTTAGTCATATTTCGGTTAAGAATAGTGGATAACATGTTGATCGATAGATGGTCTGTAACAGTCAATCAAAAACATTATTGAAGCAAGCCCCGTTAGGAAACAGCACAAGGTCCTATTGTATTTAACTGACTTATACTAGTACTTATGTTGCTATTCCTTTAATCATTCTGAATTGGTGCATGCAGCTTTCGAAAACAACACAGATCTAACTTTCACACATGGTATCATTATTTGCTTTTAATGAATAGATTCGGGAAACTAAAGTGGATTTTGTGCATACATGGTTCTGAAAATAATTAGTTGTATGATCAATAATGAGCATTACAAAGAAACCCGAATAGACTGAATATTGATGACCACCAACTGACTCAGTAGAGATAGCACGGATTATTAGGCTGTTGTAACAAGTCAAGAGATTGTATCTCGTGATTAGTTGTCAATTAATTGGTCACAACGTATTAGTTCACTTCAATCGATCAACCTTATATGTCACTAAAAAGTTAAACCATTCGATAACAAGAGCAACACTTCTAAAAACGGACTTGAAAAACTGTGCCACTTTAATAGTTTGTAGAGGATTTATGCATGCAAATATTTTTATGACCTCAAATACTTGTGAATGAATGATAAACTGGGTGCACTATAATATTCGGATAATGAATTATTGGATTATTTTGAAAAGGAATTAGATAACGTATTTGGAAATCATTTAGTCTAACCTAATAGCTTGTCATATTAACTAAGGAAGATTGGTTTAGCGAAGAGATCTCTTCGGCGAATTCATTTTCAAAGCTGTATAATCACAAATCTACACATATTTTTCAAAATAATAACAATGGCAATAATAGTGAGGCAAAATAAATAAAGATATCCTGAAGAGCATAATTGCTGACTTTCAATGGATTGTTCTTCGCAGCAACCTTGCAATAAGTGTTCTCCAGTCGGCCAATGTTTAGTAATAACCTCAAAGATGAATTAACTCATTTGACCAATCCCATGTGAGTTCATCAAATAACATATTCCTGTGGAGCCAGGTATATATGTCGTTCGATGTGTATTTCGTCCAAAAGACTTCAAGAACATTAACCAGCTTGGCTAAAAAGAGGCGACAATGACTCAATAGGAAGCTCTTTAATCAAACACCATGTGGAAGTAAGTCGTCTGACCAAAGAGGACTCAGTATCCAGTCATTTATAAAGTGAGTAGAAAACTGCCAAGGACAGTGAGCTTCTGTTTTCTTAGCGTTGCCGAGGCATTTGCTACATATTTGGAAAAACAAGAAATATATATGCACAAGAAACTTGTACAACCTCTTCCATTACAACCGCTGGATGCTGCCCCGGAAGAGTATGTTACGTATGTTGGAAACTGTAAAAACGCCTCCAGTGAAGTGACAATATGTAATAACCTACTTTTAAGTGTACCTAGATGGTTATTTGATTGATCCGATCAACCCTTTAAAGTGCAACTCATAATAGTCAGTGGTAGTCTTAGATAACACTAATAATGTGGTAGTGTTGGCATGGTTGTAAAAGGTTTAAGTTTGATTTACATACGAGAAACCACGTCTTACAACTGAATACAGATAGCTCAAAAATGTAGCAAGTTTGCTTCCATAGCTATCCGAAGAATACCAAAATTGACCAAAATCATACAATGCTTTTTAAATTGGTACTTCTATGACGAATATTGAATAGATTGATATTGAGTGAGATATCGTTGATATAACGCTAACCAACAAACTTTAAATAGGCAACTAACTAGCTAAGTATATGTTGATTAGAAGACAATTACCAACACTCAAGCAAAGTAGGCTTCAAATTTGCAAAGTGGGTTGATAAGCATTCAAATAATTAGGATAATAAAAATTGAGGTTACTAAATAAACGATACAGAAAACGGATGGTTTTCCGACATTTCGATGAACTTTTTGACAGAGACCAAGTAGTTATTCACTAGTAAGTCAGCAAAACATTGTTCCATGGTGTGGGTAGCCGCGAAGTAACAATCGTCCTCATACCTCCAATAGCACCTAAGATTATTTTTGAATTCCATATAATTTTATTGTTTTTATTCCACTAACTTATATTTTCTTGAATCTCATCTTCGATGTTTAATCCTTTCCATTACCACTGGTACTGTCACTACCTCTGACACTCTTGGATTTGGTCTGACAATGTCATCTCTGTGCTAATGAGGTATGGCAACTTGAACTGATCTACATACATATCAAGCTCTACGATGCTACTGCTTCCAAATTACCAATCACTGAACTATTTGTATAAAAGATCAGTCAGCTAAATGAGTTAGGTGGGTCACTCAAGTTCAAACACTCTGTGAATAGATTGAGGAAACTATACAAATGAAAGAGTTTAGGACAACTCATGCTTAATGTGAGCAAAGCCAGACGTTATAAACTGATCAATTCACACTACTACTAAAGACAGGAATATTAATCGATGACAGAATCAAGTTCGGTAAGATATCAGCTGATCTGTAAAGTTAGTTTCAAAATGGTAGATTACTGAGAAAAAATATACATGGATTTTCAACAAAATAATGAAAACCTACTTCTGATGTCATCGATGCTAGTTTGTCCGGACTCACGTGTCCCATTAGGACATTAAGTCGCAAATTGGGATTATTAGAATCGCGTAGATTCATAACTCTAGTACGTACTCGTTGTTTGTACTTGGGATCAGTATTGTTGAAAAGATCATATATGGAACTTTCTATTCGTATTGCTAGGAACTCACTTTCATAAGCACCGCTAGGAATATCTAAGAAATGAAATCAGTGTAGGTCTGCTACTGTCACTTACTGCCACTTTCTAGTGCTGATTGAAGCATCTCTCGGGCTTTTAAACGTACTTGATCTGTTGTAGTCAAAGTGTGGACAGGAAAAAAGCCACGACTTGCATTTCCCGACAGTTCTGTAGATTCCTTCTTTTCACTTGGCCGAGACCGTTTGGCTTCTTGTGGTCCTCCATCGTCACAGACATTGTAGTTATTTGACTCAGGTGAATGTTTGTTGTCATTACTGTTGCCATTGTCATTATTGTTATTGCCAACACTATTGGTGCAAGATGCAGGAGCTTCACTTTTGTCTAAAATATAACAAAATATAAAAAGGAATCGTTAGTAACCTCTCAAAAATATCAGTAACGACTAATAGTTTGTATAGTTCCCTGATTTAGCACTATGATTATATTAAGCACTTGGCTGGAAAATAATATGCCATCAAGGTTAACAATTGCTTTACCTGAGGAACAGAAACAAGATCTCTTTTAAGAGGTGAACCTGACACAAGTATAACATACTTTAAAGATATGCAGATTCGGAACAATAAAATCAAATAGCTTGATTTTACTACTATTATTAATATTTTAATACGATATGTTGAAGTAATTATAAATAAAAACATTGAACCATCTTTGTTTACCTTCCGATCTCACTTTACATTGAAGCCTTTACTATCCCAGCTACTTCAGTAGTTGAAAGTTGGTAATATGAGGCAGTCAACTACTTACGTAGCATTCCAAGATTTACTGCTTAGCCAAAAGTCTGAATGTACACCACTAATCCCTTCCAGACAGCTATGTCCAAATGCTATCAACCACTGCGTGCTTTCGATTCTTAGATGCAATGTTTCACATTCACAAGAAAAACGATAGTGAAAGACTGAATGGACTTCATGCCTTATTCTACCCATCTTTAGTTTCCCAATCTATCAAAACTCGACCGTTGCTGTTACCTTGACGTGGTGGTCGGGCTTGTCCATCTTGATGAACCAATCGAGCTTTACTGGCTGGAACGATTGTCCCTCAAGGTCCTACCATGCCAGGTAGGTCGGTTGAAGAGCGGTAAGACCAAAAGCAGTAAACCCAAGGTCCGAGGGCGAAGTCGTACTACCGAGGTGTGGCAGCAGTAAGGTGTCTCCTTCAGACAACTCGCATGACAGAGATGTTGCCTTCCCACAACGAAGGGTGCGGTTAGAATAGATCGACCCTAAACATGCACACCGCCTTATCCCACGGATTTCCGTCTCCAGCAGTAAGGTCTCAACAAGTACGGAGCTAACACGAAAATTACTCACAAAATGGTCTTGTGTGAACAACCTCAAGCAGTTGTCCCTTGGGTACTGCGGTCACGCTCTCAGGTCACTAAGACCACCACTAACCGAATTTCCCTTTCAGGTCCCCCCAGAACATCTCTTCTACAGTGTGGGCAACCGGGAAGTGATAACCGCCCACATACTTCTTACAGTACTCAAGACCTTCGTATTCAAAATCAATCTCGCCTTACAATCCCTATTATTCCTCCTACGTCGACTTCCAACTCTAAGCTTCCTCCTCAAGTGTCATCATGGCCAACGATTTTAGCGCGCGAAACACTGTCCCAAGTCTGCTGAAACCTCGCTCAAAACTACAGATTGGAGGCTTCAACGTACTCACTCTATTTCAAATCGACCAACAGGCCTCCTTGGCTAAAACCATAGAATGTCGTACCATTGATGTATGCTGTGTCTCCAAAACACGCATACAGGATTCTAGTGTGTTCATTCACTTGACCTCACCTCGCCAAAACGGAGAACCGACGAGATACACCCTCTGTGTGTCGGGCAACCTGATGGGTAGTTCTCGTGAACTGGTGGGTGTAGGTATAGCACTAAGCACTATTAAAATGGATCCCTGTTAACAGTCGCCTATGTGCTGTTCGGCTGAACGGCTCCGTAAGAACTCGGAAGGACAGGGACACGTCGTTGCCTTTTCGTCATTTCTGCCTACGCTCCCACTAACTGCAGCTTGAGTGAAGTGAAAGATAACTTTTACAGAAAGCTCTCTGAACACCTTCATAAAGCTAAACACTCAGATATAGTACTCATAGTAGGTGATTTTAATGCCTAAGTAGGTAACTTAAACCAAATAGAAAGACATTTAGGTAGGTATTTCATTACTCCGGCTCAGCGAACAGATAATGGTGATCGTCTGCTGCAACTGTGCTCAGACTATCGTTTCTTTTTAGCAAACACTAATTTTAAGCATAAGGAGAGACATCGTTCAACACGGCGAACCCTTGCACCAAACCAACGATGGACTCAAATAGACCATATTGCCATCAGTCACTGTTGGAGAAGCTCTATAGAAGCCTGTCGCACGTTCTGGGATACCTGTTTGAACTTCGATCATGCTCTATTACAAGCACGCATTTGCTCGCGCCTCGCTGGACGCAGAAAAATCACATTAAGAAGATCAAATTAATTTGAACTCAGTGATGAGAAAGCCAAAAGTAGATTCCAGGAACAACTGAGGTCACACTTAGGTAGTTCTGAAAACGAGGATGACCCAGATGTTACTTGGAAAGATACGAACAGCTATGAGAACAACAAGGACATCTAATAGTGATTTAAACCAAAGGGGTTACGAAAAACCAGTGGATTTCTATTAAGTCTATTGCACTGACGGATCCTCATAAACTCATCCCATCAGGCTCTGAACACGATGGAGAACGAAAACAAATCAGATCTAGGTTAACCAAAAGTCTAAGGAACGACTGTGAGCAGTGGTGGGCAACGAAAGCAGAAGAAATGGAAACAGCAGCGGCTGTAGGAAACACCAGACAGCTTTACAGACTAATAAAAAAACTGCAATTAAGAAGTCAAGCGTGAGACTATCTCGGAAGAAAACGGCACTCTTATGTGCTCTCAGCCCAGACGTTGAGAACGATGGGCGGAACACTGTAAAGAGTTGTTCAGCTGGCCTACAGCTACTCTACAACTACATACCATTCCCAAGCAGCATGAATGGTAATAGGTCCCTCGACTCTAGTTGACGTTCCGAAAGCTATAGCTAATCTGAAACGAGGAAGGGCAGCTGGTCCAGATGGATTGGCTCCAAAGGTCTTTAAGGATGGTGGTCTAACCTTAGCGGTTAGGTTGACTAATATTTTAGCTAAAATCTGGGAGTTAAACGTAATCCCATTTGAGTGATCTCAATCAATTCTTGTCCTAATATATAAGTAAGGGTGAAAACCATCCTGCGATAACCATATAGGGATTAGTTTGACTAACATAGCATTTAAAATACTAGCCCCAATAATTATCGGGCACCTAACAAAGACTCGTGAACTGCAAACACGAAAAAGTCAGGCTAACTTCAGACCTGGTCGTGGCTACATCAATCACATATTCATCATCCGTCAGGTTCTAGAACACGGGCACGCTTATCGGCGTCCGACAATGGTGGTCTTCCTTGACTTAAAAGCAGCATTTGACTCTAGACAGCGAGATTCTGTGGCAGTGAGAGGCGTACCTCAGAAGTATATAGACCCTGTGAAGGCTCTTTACTCGAACACCACCAGTCGAGTCCGAGCTTACGGTGACTTGTCATCTGATTTTGCAACCTCAAGTGGTGTCCGGCAAGGCTATCTACTATCCCCATTTTTGTTCAACTTCATCATAGACCTACTGCTGGAAATAACGCTCTTTTTGTCTGAATTTTAGGGATGGTCCATTTATCGACTTAGGATACTCAGATGATACAGTCATGTTTAGTGAAGACGCTGATCAAATGCAGAGTCTCTAGGTAGCACACAGCAACGATGCCAGTATGTGTTGGGATGCGCTACTCCCCCTCAAATGCAAGTTGTTGCTTCAGGACCGGTCCGTGTGAACAACTGAACTAAGAATGAGAAGCGAAGTAGTAGAACGCGTTGATAACTTCACTTATCTTGAGAGTCTGATCGGCCATAATGGGTTGGTGTCTGACAAAATCTCTGCACGGATTCAAAAAGTTCGTCTGGCTTTTTCCCCCTTACGTCGTCTATGGCGAAGGGGAGATATTCATTTACCAACTAACGGATGAGTATACTGCGTGACAGTTCGTTCTGTTCTACTTTACGGCTGCGAAACGTGGTCGACGTACTTTTAGAGATAACACTTTTCTCATCTAAATTTCCAGGGTTTGAACTTCTACCGAGAGGTTTACTTGTTGACTTAGAATATGCAGATGACATAGTTTTATTTGGTGAAGACGCTGACAAAATGCAGAGTCTTCTGACCACTCTAAGCAACAATGCAAGCATGTTCGGGATGCGATTCTCTCCCTCGAAATGCAAAATGTTGCTTCAGGATTGGGTTACATCGACACCCGAACTAGTGATAGGGAGTGAAGTAGTTGAGTGTGTCGACCGCTTCACTTATCTTGGAAGTCTCATCAGCCCTTGTGGTCTGGTTTGTGACGAAATCTCAGCACGGATACAGAAGGCTCGACTAGCTTTTGCCAACTTGCGTCATTTATGGCGTAGGCGAGATATCAGTCTATCAACCAAAGGACGGGTTTACTGTGCAGCAGTTCGTTCCGTCCTTCTTTATGGCAGTGAAACATGGCCGGTAAGAGTAGAGGATATTCGTAGGTTACTAGTATTCGATCATAGGTGTCTTCGAAACATTGCTCGTATATCCTGGGACCATAGAGTAAGTAACACAGTTGTTAGGGATCGGGTACTAGGTAAGGATAGCAAATCAATTGATGAAGTAGTGAAACTTCATCAGTTGAGGTGGCTGGGACACGTGTTACGTATGCCCTACGACCGACTGCCTCGACGTGCTATGTTCAGTGGTATAGGAGTAGGTTGGAAGAAAGCTAGGGGCGGCCAAACCAAAACATGGCACAAGTCCGTGAAGTCACTGACAAGTGAACTGAGCCATGTTGGTAGGTGTAGACTACCTGGTTGGGGACCGCGAGATGATAGCAACCGATGGTTAGAGACCCTGAATGACATGGCTCAAAATCGTTTGCAATGGCGCAGGTGCATCCACTCTCTGTGTTTTCCGAAATTCTAATCTTCTGAATTCTTCATGTCCCTTTTTTCCTCTTTCCAAATTTATTTCAATGGATTATACTCTTTAAATAACATCTCCAAACCCTAATCTTCCCGATTACTGCTTATGCTCTTGCTACCTCTACCACTACGGGATTTGAATCGACAACTGAATCTCTGTGCTAATGTGGTGTGGCAACTCGAACTGATGTACGTACGTACGAAGTTCTACGTTGTTACTGACTGACTGACTGACATTAAGAGTAGCGGATAGTCGTAAGTTACTAGTAGTTGATCACAGATGTCTTAGAAATATTGCTGGCATTTGCTGAGATCACCGGGTAAGTAATAGTGAGGTTAGACGGAGAGTATTAGGGAATGATGGTAAATCAGTTGATGAGATTGTAAATCTTCATCGACTGAGGTAGTTGGACCACGTGTTACGTATGCCTGAACACCGATTACCACGACGTGCAATGCTGACGAGTGTTCGGGATGGTTGGAAGAAAGTTAGGGGCAACCAAACGTAAACGTGGCATCAGTCCATAAAGTTACTAACATCTGGTCTGAGCCATGTTGGTAGATGCAGACTACTTGGTTGGGATCCGCGCGACTATAGTAACTAGTAGTTGGATACTCTGCGTGACGGCTTAGAATCGATCACGATGAAGTAAGTGTATACACTCTGTCTTCTTTTAAACCGTGAGATTAAAATTGGCTCATACCTTTCTTTCTACGAACTAACCCTTTCTTCGTGTATTATATCCTTATGCACAATCTTTCTATTATATATTACTACCACTGAATTAACTACTATGAATTAGGTGTTCATCTTGTGCTAATGAGGTCTGGCAACTTGGATCGATGCATATATGTGTTTGGTCCTAAGTTGTAGCTGACTGACTGAGTGTACGCCTTACTCTATCATAAGAAAAGAAAGTTGTCGCCTCACTGGTTTGAGTGTACAACAGTTGCATTATAAGGACTAGATAACTGGAAAATCGCTTGATGAGGCAGTCCAATTTCATCAACCAGGGTGGTCGGGATATGCAGTACGTATGTCCAACTACCGCCTATGCTAACAGGTCAAATTGTTTGGTGTAGGAGTGGGCATGAATCGAAAGTGTGGCCAGATTAGGATGTGACAGCCCATGAAGCTCGACTGTCATGTTAAGTGTAAATCACCCGGTTAAGGTCCGTATGACAGCTTCAACCAACAGTCTGGGACGAGTGATCAATAAACTTTTACCGCAACTACTGCCCCTACTAATGATACCACTTTTACGGTGATAAAATTTACGGACGACCTTTGAGAAATACTAGCGTCCTTGAGAAACCTAGACCACGTGCTGTGGTCGAAACATGTTTGTATATCAGAGTGAGGAAACGAGACTAGAAATTAGGATTATAGGTTGGGACAAGGAATTAGAATAAGGGTCATAGTAACGAATGGATTTTGAGTCAAAATTCAAGACAGTAAACGGCAGATTATCGTCCCAAGACATTTCATTAATACGAAACCCAGAAGCCAAGAGATATATAGTTTCGGCACAAAATTCACCTACCTGGGACCAGCTTTTTCCACTGCTTTATCATGTTTTTCCCCAATGTAGCAACCTCCGGATCTTCTGACTCCTTTCTTATCTTGTTGATAATTATACCTACACCGGTTTTCGTTAAGATTTCCAGAGTCATCTCGATGCTTCGCAATCTTCTAAGGTATTTCAGCGCAGACTCATCATCCTGAGAAAATACGTTACGAAAGCTAGACCAAAGCATACTATTTTTTTGTTTTTTAGCATGCGGTCAAGCCGCCGGGCAACATGTTCAGTTTCTTCCATCCTGTGGTTTGCAATGTGCAACTCGACTAAACGGCTGGAATTGTCGTAGGAGTAAATCCTTTAAGAGATGTTAAAATGTGGTGGTACGTTGTGTACTAGGAGAACGTTCAAAGATATCTGGAGATATAAGGAAAATGAATCACCAAGAATACAAAATGAAGTTACATCTATTAATGAAAGCGGTTGACAACAATTAGCAATGACGCGAGCGTAAGTTCAGGACAATCTGAGAACCGAAACTGAGAGTTAGTGGGGTACTATTTGAACGCGTTACACGCTCAACGATTGAACAGGGCGCTCCAAAAGCATTATTTCAGACCTTCAATTTCTGTCTCGCAGGTGTCATTTTTGCCTCACTATCAAGGTACTAGTAACCAGATAGCTGATTTCCTTGTTATTGTGTCTTGTCATAAAGGGGCTGTTTCACAATTTTTGATTGTGATGAGTGATGTTTGTCTAGATAATCTGCTCTCCTAACACTAAAGACTAATAGTTCACTCTTCAGTCTTCAGTAATAAGGACAAGAGGTCTATCGAATCACGCTAATTCTTGCAGTTTGTAACACTGTGAAGGTCCAGTGTAGTTTTGAATGTATCACCAGAAGGTGCTGATATTATATGTACTGGTAGAGAATTACAGTGATTCACAATTCAGTGAGAGAAACGGAACCCCGGACGTAGACGATCTGATCTCTGTTCTTGAACTTTATTAGAATTTCCTTCCAAATGGCCAGTCTTAAATAGAAAGAAAAGATAAGACATTAATACCAAGGTCATTGTCCAATATACGATAAGCCAATATTAGATCACCCCGTAATCTACGGTACGATAACGAAAATAAGTTGTGTCTCAGTTTGTCTTCACAAGATAGGCCAAGAGAGATCTTTTACCATTTTAGTCCTTTGTTGTTGGAGTCGTTCCAGCATATCCGCCTCATACTTGAAAAAAGGACTCGCTGCTCACGACAGTCGGCTATAATAATTTAAACATTTCTTCATCCAAGTACTGAAAAGACGTACAGATAGCCCATAATACCCTTAAGCTTTTGACAGCAGCAGACTTGAGGTTGCTCTTATTTTTGAGGTCGCTGCTTGTTATGACTCTTAAATCTTCATATTCTATCACATTGGGTGGTGATATGAATCATTATAGTTATTTATTTGCATCAAAACACTCTTGTCAAAATTTACTTCTAGTAACCACCCGCCCATCGATGCCACCAATGAAATGAGATCATCCTGTAATACTCTTCTATCTGACATACTATGTATGGGTCTCCAAATCTTTATGTCATCGGTGAAGAGAAGAACGGATGGATTTGCTACAGTTGATAATTCATTTATATAGAGTAAAAAAAAGAAGAGGAGAAAGGATTGAATCTTGAGAGGCTCCATCTTTTGCAGGTTCCCACGCTGAGAGAGCTTGACTCACCCTTATCCGCTATTTCCTATCACTGAGAAACTCACTTATCCACTATGTGACTTTTTAGTGGATTTCGAAACTTTCCAGTTTTAATTTAAAACGCGAATGGGAGATACTGTCTAAAGCTTTACTTATATTTGCGAAAACTACATCTACATGAATATTTCGACCTTGTGCTGCAGCCCAATTTTCTCTGGGAATAGTCAAATTTGTCAAGCATGATAGGCCTTTCCAAAAACCGTGTTGTGCCCTGGCTAAAAGATTATTCCCTTCCACATAATCAGACTTACGGGTTGATAGTTACTAAATAAGTCTCTGCTCCCCACCCTATACATCGGACTAATTATTGCGTCTTCCAGGTCTGTTGGCAGTCTAGACTACTGTAGAAACTTATCGAACAGTATGTCTATAGGTTCAGTAATTAAATTCCATGAGGCTTTCATAATCGTAGGATGAATATCGTCAATACCACTGGACTTATCAGGTGAATTGTTGAAGTATTTTTAAGACAGAACCTTTTTCAGTAAATACAGGATCCACTGACAAGCCGCCCCAATTGCAATTAACCGTTAGCCGTCCCTTATTGCTGGTAGAAAACGATTTACTAAACGATTTCGATAAAGCTTCGGCTTTTTGGTATTATTTCTTGCCAATATCGACGGATTTTCTTGTACTAAAAGTAGTGGGGTTCCATCACTTCCCTGAGTTCACCTCTTTGTAAGTGATAATAACCTTTTCAGAATATTTTCACAGTCTCTAACCAATTGTTTTCACATTACTGTCTGGTCTTACTTATCAACGCCTTTTAAGCATTCCTAGTTTCAAGGTAACTAGATATATACTGTTCTAAGCTTGGAGAGGTGAACATATATTCTAATGATTTTTCCTACATCCTAGAAGTTTCTTGATCCTTTAAGTTGTCCACAGGAAAAAGTTATTAAGTCTACGCAGTATTAAGCATGGTATAAACGACGATGTAACTGGAATAAGCTTACTTTTAAATATAGTCCATGTTTCTTCGATTGATGAGCTGGTATCTACTGACGAATCTGTCTTAGCAGCACATTCATGAATGGCTGATATGTTAGCTCTCCATACATCTGGGTGAGGCTTAATCAGATCGTATATGATCTCACAAGCTCTGAACATGAATTACAAAACAGTCTGGTTGCTATTCCCCAACGGTGGAATAATATTTAGGTTGCTAATATCCTCAGTCGCATGGATGATTACCAATTCTTACAACGAAAAACCTTGGTTTGAACTAAAACATGCTGTGATAATACATAATTCATTACAGGGATTCTCTTATCAAAAGGGTTTATAAATTTTACCGTGGCCATCGAAGTCCAATTAATATCAGTTGCATTAAAGTCACATAATATCAAGCATCTGCTTTTTACATTCCATAGCTGAATGTACTCTAAAGTCAAGTCGTCTGCCAAGCAGATTGGGCTGTGATTGATGACACCGAATATAAATGTACAACAACTGATGACGAGTTCACAGCTAATGACTTCACATGTTCCACTGTCATGGGATTCGCAAACAAAGCAGCAGGTATTTATATTATTGGATATGTATAAAAGGACGCCACATTCTTTCCTACATCTATATCTATAACTTCTTAGATGGTGATATCCGGATAATTCTGGAGTAATGTCGAAGTCATGAGATAACCAAGTTTCCGCAACAGCTACGATGAATGACCTCAATTTCTTCACCAATGCTTCTAGTTCACAGCATTACGAGTTATTTTTCTTATTTACTTTGTTTTATTTTATTTTTGTTACTCATTTGGCAATACATACATAGTCGTTTATTCTTGTTCTGTGTTCACAAACACTTATTAAACTAGTTACGTATTTCGAGTCTCCTTTATTTCTATTCCCTTATTTTCTTCCTTTCCTTCTTTAAAGTCAACTCATTATTCTTCTCAATTATACAAAACCTGGTTTGTTATTATTCAGTTATCATTGTTATCTTTTTTTTCTCAAATATGGCAAACATAATGCTGGCATTATTGAAACTTGTGTACTATTGCATTTTTGAAGAAACCCGAAATGGTTTCTTCACAACACTTATGTACCCATCAGATGTTTGTGGATAATAATAATAATTTGAAGAATTGGGATCTCATCTGAGTGTTCGCCCATTAACGACCTGGTCATCAAGGATTTTGTGTATCACACTTGTAACCGTCTGACAGGATTACATTGGATAAACAGTGTGCTCTATTTAATTTATCTCTCAACATAATGTGATCAACTCCCTTCCTCCTAATGTTAGCCAACCATGCTAAAAAGTTGCTAAATTGTAAGTCAAAATGATAGGGTTGTTTAGGGCATGGCGACAACACTATAACAACTTAGTAATCACGGATCTCAAAGATGATCAAATCAGAAGTCAATATTCAATGAGTTCGAAGGTTTATTAAGAAAAATAACCAGTACGTCGAGGAGTACGTAATTTACGCCCAATAGTTGGTGTAAGAAATGTGTGGTATTGTACACTGAAAAACGGTCTAGTGCGGATGCCTGATCAAGCACTTTCAGCAAGGACTGTGTCAGGGGAAAATAATCAAGCCGGCACCGACGTCGAACACTTACAGATCTATTCGCTGCGGAAATTTATTTATCGCCTCATATAGCTTTCGGGTAAGGATAAATGAGGCAAGTGCATGAACCCGTCTAATTTCTTCTCTGTTAATGGTCAGCGAATTGGTGATACATGCATTATCGTGACATCCCTATTACATCCCTGAAATATTATGTCAACGCTGGTAGATTTAAGGGAATTTTTAGCGGAATAGGATGATATGACTTTGAGTGTCTCATACACTTCTGCCCCTTCAATAACTAAATGCAAATGAGACAACCGTTTAATGCAGGGAAACTGACGAATGTGGATGAGGGAGAACCAATCTCTAACCGATATACCTGTACCGATCTCTCAGCCATAATTACTACAAAGTCGGTAAATGTATACGCTCAACCTTATCACACAAACCTTGAAAGATGTTAAGTTTAACAAGGTAACTACCTATTCTTAATTCCGTTTCACAGATTTAGTAGTACTATTGTGGATCATCTCGTTTATTTAGTTAACTGGGCCCCACATTGTAAATGAATAACAGAAGTGACCACCGTAGCTAAGCAACAAAGAATAATTAATTGACATTAAAAACAAGATTCGAAAGATATTCTGTATCACGACAGACGAAAAACATCAAATATGGACAAAGGTAGATAGATATGTAGGTCCAGTAAAGTATCATAAAACACTACCATCCACCAAGTTGGACCGCCCCTAATTTAGAAGATTGATCACTGAAAAATGGAAGGTCTGTGACTCTATCAAGGCCAAACGTGACCGAAGCAGGTCGACTTATTAACTGCATTGGGTCGATCTAAGCGGTAGTGCAATCATACTCCGCTCTTTTTGATAAAAATATTACTCGGGAAGGTCTTTGTCCGTTCTCTAGGGGTATTTATAAAGCAGAACATTCCAACCACTAAGTCAAAGTGAACCAGGTTCATCAAGCATCGTACGGTGTGACTTCTGTGAAAGATCATGTCA